GTAGAATGCCATACCAGACACGCGTTCTTCTCCCCTCCCTTGTCAATATACTGCAGGGACAATTCCGTCTGGGACACAATGGTCCACTTGCAGCCCTACGGCACTTTCCGCCCTATGGCACTTTCCTTTGCAATCTCATAAGGTGTAAATACCTGCCCGTTTACTTCCTCCCTCCTCACTATCCAAGGTTCCAGACTCACCTTCCAGGTGAAGCAGCAATTTATTTGCACTTCATTCAACCTAATCTACTATATTCGCTGCTCACAATTTGGTCTCCATTACTGGGGAGATGAAACACATACTGCGTGGCTGTTTTACAGAACACCTATGTGTCCACAGAAATGGCTCCAAGCTTCCAGTTGCCTGCCACTTCAACACAGCACCATGCTCCCTGGTTAATATTTCTGTCTTGGGCCTGCTGCAGTGCTCCAATTGAGGTCTATGGCAAGCTGGAAGAACAGCAACTCATTTTCTGCTTGGGGAACCTGTAGCCTTCAGGACTGAACAGTAAGTTCAATAATTTCAGAGCCTGAATAGCTTCTCCCATGTGCTTTACCCATCCCCACACCTAAACCATGTCAACACATGGATTGCTTCCAGCACAGCCAATCCATTTTCAGCTTCTTATAGTCCCCATTATCAGCTTTTCTAGAATACGAACATCCATTCTTTTGTTGGTTTAAACATTTTTCTCACCATCTGGGTTCTGTGCCCACCTACTCTCTCACTTTTCTACCACCTTCCCATCCCCACCCCATCTTCTGCATTTTTACCACTTTCTCCTAGCTATTACTAGTTCTGATGAATGGTCACTATACCCGAAACGTCGACTTCTGCTTTCTCTTCACAGATGCTGGCAGACCTGCTGAGTTTCTCCAGGAATTTGTTTTTGTTTCAGATTTCTATTGCCCATAGTTGTTTGTTTTAAACACATACATCCACAGCCCTTGAAGAGGTCTGTTCAAATTGGAGGCTTTCACTGACCATTGAACTAGGAGTGAGAAGTTAATGATGGCAAAAATCAACGAATTAGAGACTGAGTAAATCCAAAATATCACCCTATTGGCTAAATGTTGGTTGATTCCCCCTCACGACCAGTTCCAAGTCAATGATTGCACTTGCAAGAAAAGGTACTGTCTGCATCCCACTGCTGCTGCCCTCAGCATATTCCTACCTCCCTCACCGGTGAATAGCAATATGAATAAATGTTCAGTCATGCCAAAGGTTAATGTCTCTTCTGGAGATACAGGGAAGCTTTGAATTAAATTGTATGCTTAAGTTTACAAATGGGATGTGCACTCTCAAATCTCTGATTTAGATGTGAAAGTGCTATCTCTGAGACAAACCAAAGTCAGCATTAACTTGCAATCAATCATTTAGAAAGTTGATCATAATCTTTGACAAAATTTCACACACAGATTTACTATACATTACGCTAAATCTGACTTTTTTTTAAGCAAGATCAGCATTGTACATGATACTAAATTCTTGACTGTGAATGAAATAATATTTAATAGAACATAGAACATTACAGCGCAGTACAGGCCCTTCGGCCCTCGATGTTGCGCCGACCTGTGAAACCAATCTGAAGCCCATCTAACCTAAACTATTCCATTATCATCCATATGTTTATCCAATGACCATTTAAATGCCCTTAAAGTTGGCGAGTCTACTATTTTTGCAGGCAGGGCATTCCACGCCCTTACTACTCTCCGAGTAAAGAACCTACCTCTGACATCTGTCCTATATCTATCACCCCTCAATTTAAAGCTATGTCCCCTCGTGCTAGCCATCACCATCCGAGGAAAAAGGCTCCCATTGTCCACCCTATCTAATCCTCTGATCATCTTGTAAGCTACAATGGTATGAGGTGTGAGCGCGCTCTGATAAATTCGGACCATTACTTAAAGGGATGATGATGGATTAGCAATGGCAAATGTTTAAAGAATGCATGGAGGAACTGCAAAAATTGTTCTTGCCTGTCTGGCACAAACAAAAATGGTGAAAAGTGGTCTGACCATAGCTAGCAAAGGAAATTAGGAATAGTATTAGATCTAAGGAAGTGCCATACGAATTGGCCAAGAAAAGCAGCAGGATTGATTGGGAGCAGTTTAAATTTCAACAAAGGAGAACAAAGGGATTGAACAAAACGAAAATAGAGTATGAGAGGAAAGTAGTGAAGAACATAAAATTGATTGTAAAAGGTTCTATATCTATGAAGCACAAGATCAGAGTACTGTTGTGAAACCTAATCTGGGCTGTACGGTGGCTCAATGGTTAGTTTTGCTGCCTCAGAACACCAGGAACCCGGGATCAATTCCACCACCGGGTGACAGCCTGGGAGGAGTTTGCACGTTCTCCCTGGGTCTGTGTGGATTTTCACTGGGTGATCCGGTTCTGTCTCTCAGTCCAAAGATGTGGAGGTTAGGTGGATTGGCAATGGTCTTGGGATGTGCAGGGTAGGTGGGTTAGCCACAGTAAATATGAGGTAAAGGGGATAGGATCGCTGCATTCTCGATAGGCTGGATGGCCTCCTTCTACACTGTAGGGATTCTATTGTTCTATACTTTATTCATATTGAAAGAATGAATTTGCTTTACTTTACAAAAATGAATATCATACTAAACAAAAAATTACACATCTCAATGGCACAGGATAAACAAGGAATTAGATGCCAGACTCTCTCACCTGTTGAAGATCAGAAACACTGTACAGATCAGGTGACTCCACGAGATACTTCTTTTGCTCCAATCTGAAACAGAGATAATAAGCGTTGGTTGTTTCATACAAGTAACAGAGGCAACATCAGAGGCTACTTTAAAGAAGAAAACAGAGTATCTGAAAAGCCAGGCAGATTGCTGAAGCTTTTCACCTTTAATGTAGCCATTACATCTACTGTTAGATTTTATGATTGTTCTGCAAATGCTGCTCAATCACATATTATTTTAACAAACAATTTAATATAATTATAATAGATAACAAGGTGTAGAGCTGGATGAACGCAGCAGGGCAAACAGCATCAGAGGAGCAGGAAGGCTGACGTTTCAGGCCTAGACCCTTCTTCAGAAATGGGGGAGGGGGGAGGGAGGTTCTGAAATAGATAGGGAGAGAGAGGGAGGCGGATAGAAGATGGATAGAGGAGAAGATAGGCGGAGGGGAGACAGACAGGTCACCTATCCCACCTACACTCACCTTTACTGGCTCCATCCCTGCCTCTTTGACCTGTCTGTCTCCTCTCCACCTATCTTCTCCTCAATCCATCTTCTATCTGCCTCCCCCTCTCTCCCTATTTATTTCAGAACCTCCTTCCCCTCCCCCATTTCTGAAGAAGGGTCTAGGCCCGAAACATCAGCCTTCCTGCTCCTCTGATGCTGCTTGGCCTGCTGTGTTCATCCAGCTCTACACCTTGTTATCTCAGATTCTCCAGCATCTGCAGTTCCTACTATCTTCGAATATAATTATAATGTCTGTATAATGACTGTGAAACTGTCAGTGCTCAGTTGTTAAAATTGTGAAACTGAGAGCAATTTCTGGTATTGGTGCATGGGTAATTAACACAGAAATGCAGAAGTTGACGTCAGTGATTTCCTGTACCTCTGCAAGTATGTGAAAGGTCTATGGAGCAAAACGGTAAAAATAACTTGAACTAATATGAATGCTCCAGGTTTGCACAAACATCAATGTACTAATAACCAGAGGGTCTGTACTTGAAATTTTGATTGAAGGATAGATAATTTGATAGCTCGCTGGATCTACGGTTTTTCCAACTGTGCAAAGGGAAACTTTGCATCAATTAAATCAGATGTAACATTTCATTTGAAAGATGGCGTCTCTGACAACGTATTGCTCTTCAGTACTACCCGAAATAAACGTTTATTGCAAGTTAACATAAATGTAAGTTACTTGAACTGAGCTGAATTTATAGAAACTTACATTCAACTTTAGATAATAGTAGTAATTGCACTCAAAAATAATCAACTGCAAACCTACAATCTTGTTTCAGCATCAGAAATTATCCAAGGTAGCATCAAAACAGATTGACCAAACATATCAAATCTATAAAATTCAAGCTATTTCATGCTTAAACATAAATAACAACTGAATACATTTCTTTTGGTTGCAAAAATTTCAAAGTGCATTACTGGGCAAAAATCAGACTTTATTTAACATAACACCATGCGACTAGTGATTAAAACTAAAAGCACCGATCCTCACTTTCTGTATAATTCCTGGACTGCACCACTCCGACATGTGAGAAGATAATCTTCCAATAGCTTCAAACGCTTTCTGCTCTTGCGGGCCTGGGCCATCTGCTCAATATACTGGTACAGACTTGCATTTATCAGATTAATATCAATGAATGGCTCATTTTGAATTTGTTGCAGGAATTTTGCAGCCACATTGGAAACCTTTTTTAAGAAAAAAAGAAAATTTTAACATGAGTAGTGACAGACACTTAACTTATTACTTTGTATTCAAAAATCAGCATTTTCTTTAATGATATCTGTGGCTTTTAGAGATTTTGTGCTACACCATTGTTATAATGAAATTCCAAGTAATTTTAATAATTCTAGTGAGGTTTCCTATTTATAGTATGGAATGACGTGACTGTCCATCACAAAAGTTTTATAATTTCCAAAGATGTGTGAGGAAATGAAAAAGAAAATCAATTTCTAAGTATAGTCGGTTCTGCTAGAATGTGTGTTTCTTCAATGCAAATTGGACTTCACGTGATTGAAGAATTTAGACCGCGATTTGTAGAACGTGAACTTTCCTTACCTGTATTGGCTATAATGCAATTCCGGCCCTATTAGTTTAAAAGGTGCGGCTATTGTGCGATTTTCTTATAATGCAAGATCACATGAGAACGGAACTATCACATTATATCAGAACTGTTGAACAGGTACAGTTCCAATCCACCAAACTTTTAAATAGCTTGTACAATGTAGCTCACTACTTCATCATCAGGGAAACCACATATAAAAAAAACACCATCTTGGCAACCCCAGTTCTTTTCTCAGCTGAGAAAAATAAATACCCTTCCCCTTTACAAGGTCTGGCAGATGGAATACAATGTAAATAAATGTGAAGTCATACATTTTGGTAGGAGTAATAGTAAAAAGGCTTATTACTTGAATGGTAAAAAGTTGCAGCATGCTGCTATGCAGAGGGACCTGGGTGTCCTTGTGCATGAATCACAGAAGGTAGGTCTGCAGGTACAACAAGTAATTAGGAAGGCAAATGGAATTTTGTCCTTCATTGCTAAAGGGATTGAAATTAAAAGCAGAGAGGTTATGTTGCAGCTGTACAAGGTGCTGGTGAGGCCACACCTGGAATACTGTGTGCAGTTTTGGTCTCCTTACTTGAGATAGGATGTATTGGCACTGGAGGGGGTGCAAAGGAGGTTCATTAGGTTGATTCCGGAGTTGAGGGGGTTGGCTTATGAAGAGAGACTGAGTTGATTGGGACTATATTCATTGGAATTCAGAAGATTGAGGGGGGATCTTATAGAAACATATAAAATTATGAAGGGAATAGATAAGATAGAAGTAGAGAGGATGTTTCCACTGGCAGGTGAAGCTAGGACGAGAGGGCATAGCCTCAAGATTAGAGGGAGCAGATTTAGGACTGAATTGAGAAGGAATTTCTCAATTGAGAGGGTTGTTAATCTATGGAATTCCTTGCCCAGTGAAGTAGTTGACGCTACTTCAGTAAACGTTTTTAAAGAAAAGGTAGATTTTTTTGAACAATAAAGGAATTAAGGGTTACGGCGAGAATGCGGGTAAGTGGATCTGAGTCCACGAAAAGATCAGCCATGATCTTACTGAATGGCGGAGCAGGCTCGAAGGGCCAGACGGCCTACTCCTGCTCCTGCTCCTAGTTCTTATGTTTTTTAAGCTGTTGAAAACACCCAACATCACACATATCAACAAATTTTCCAAAGCTCATCGTGGTGCAATGTCAATTTAAAGCACATTTTACAATGGCCAATCAACACTCTTTAGTATAGGTTCATGTGAAAATACAAATGGGTCCTATACTGATGCTTCTTGGGGAGGCAGGTATTGTCACCATGCAATACACATTTCACCCTTTACTGGAGACAGACAAAGAAAGTCCCCCTCCTATATTTGGAGATGGGAGAGGTGCATTATAACAAACTAGAGTGAAACAACATCAAACACAGAACAGTTTACTCACCCCTTTTTTCACCAGGTCCCAGTTATGGATCATTCTAGAAGGGATAATTATTAATGTATCCTGATGACACATCTCACAGTAGTAAAGGCTGGAAAAAGCACAAAGCTTGGCTTTTCCAAAAGAAAACCCAATTTGTTGACGACATCCTTCAAAATAAAAGACAGAGTAAAAAATAAAGACTATTTTGCCCATTGAGAATAACTCCGTCAAGACAGGACACAATTCATGATTCTATATTGCAACAGAAACACAAGAACAAATTCTCCTGTTGCCATGTCTGGAGAATGTTTAATGACCTGAGCACAGGGAATTCAAGTGAACAGGAATGTCTGTTCTTAACAGTGACCATCCAATTTGACACACTAACTTAATTAGATGGCATTTCAATGACTCCCTTAGAATCGATCTGCTGCTTCCGATCTGATCTGATATTCAAGTATATCTTCTGCATTTTTTCTTCTTATTCGATAAATCAATTTATGACCATTTGTGCAAAATAGTGAAGAATAGTGGAAAAAGAAAACGTTTTCACATTCCTTTTTAACAAGATGTTTAAATATTGTGTGCTGTGCTTGTCTTTTTAAGTGTGATTTTCTTAAAACTAGTATAAAAGATCAAACAGTTTTAAGCACAAATTACAATCCACACAACTCCAGTATGGTATGCAAGTTTAGAAATATTGCCCTGGAAGTCAGTACCAACATCAAATTAACTGCTCTAATGACCACAGACCTTTCAGAAGGCTCTAAAAATTGTTGTTTTCCTGAATTCAAAAACTCTAATAACAATGTTTTAATATATTTCAAACATTTTAAATGTACAGAAAAAATTGGCAAGTATGCATCAATTTAACTAGGCAAACGGTTGTGTGTGTTTTTTGTAGCAATATTATTTAAAAGCATGCTATTCTGAGTTAATGGATGAGACACTTAATTTTCCAAAATTCTGTCAATTCCTTAACGATTTCATCAGACTGGAAGGTACTCAATATAACTCCTCTATTCAGGGAGGCGGAAAACAAGAAACTATTGGCAGTTAGCTTGACATCGGTCATAAATCAATAAGATTATAGCTATGTACCTAGGAAAGCCCAAGTCAATTTGGGTTTGTGAAAAGGAAATCACATTTAAACAATTTATTGGAGTTCTTTGAAGGAATAACAAATGCGGTGGATAAAGGGGAGGCTGTAGATGTCCTGTATTTGGATTTCAAGATGACAATTAATAAAGTGCCACATTAAAAGTTTTTGCAGAAAATAAAAGTGCATTGTGTGGTTATGCTCAGGCTCCTTGACGCCACACACAATCAATGCTGCCTTGATATTATGGGTAATGACTCTCACTACTTCTGGAAATCAGTTCTTTTGTCCATGCTTGAACCAAAGAGTAAAGAGGTCAGGAGCCAAGTGGCCCTGGTGGAACCCAAATTGGGTGTCAGTGAGAAGGTAATGCTTGATAGCACTGTTGATGACACTTTCTATCCCTTTATTGATGAACAAGAGTAGACTGAAGGAGTGCTAATTTGCTAGGTTGGATTTATCCTGCATTTTGTGTAGAGAACATACCTGGAAAATTTTTCATATTGCGGGGTAGATGCCAGTGCTGAAGCTGTAATGCAACAGCTTGGCTAGGAGTGTGGCAAGCTCTGGAGCACAAGTCTTCAGTACTGTTGCCAAAATGTTGTCAGCCTTTGCAGTATCCAGTGCCTCTAACCAATTCTTGATAATAGGTGGAGTGAATCAAATCGGCTGAAGACTGGTATTCGTGATGCTGGGGGCCTCTGGAGGAGGCTGCGATGGATTATCCACTTGGCATTTCTGGCTGAAGATTGCTGCAAATACTTCAGTCTTGTCTTGTACACTGATATGCTGAGCATCCCCATCATTGAGGATGGGGATATTTGTGGGATACTGTGCCTATTTATCTCCTTTTTAAAATAGTATCTGATCAGTCTTTTGATAACATTTCCATTCTAATGTGATTTTTAAAAGTTAAAAGTCATTAAAGCATCTATAACATTATAGATAGGGAATTTTAATCTGCTTTTTATGATCTGACTGTTCAGTTATAATAGCTTCCTTCCTTATGTCAGTTAAATAGGTCAGAAACAGTGATAAAACCACGTGGAATTACAAAATGTGTGTCAGATTCCCCAATTGCAAACTTGTTCACAGATAACCCCAAATTTCTGAAAATTGAAAGCCTTTTGTTTACAGCAAATATGATCAAGTCTGTTTTCTGATGTATAGACTATAGGTTACTAAATGATTTAATACTACACTGACTGCATTAATGAAATACGAGTAAACAGGTTGATGTTTCACAGTTTCCTAATCCAGTTCCATTTAATAGCATGAGCATCTGTTCCTACTTAGAGGACTCTCCACAAAAGGGGTTTAAAATAACCTCATTGCTCTGCAGAGTAGTTGTAATTTCACAGCAAGAATGAACCCAGTGTTTGTCACAAGGTATCAACCTTGCTCAAAAGCTAAGTTGGTTTAACTCACCAACCGCTCTCTGTAATAAGAGGTTACAAAACAAAACTTGACTAAAACCTTCATAGAATAATTTGTATAAATTTACAACAATAAACATCAGCATTTCTGCAGGCTTATCTTGAACAGTAATATAATAGATTTTTTTCCTACTTCTCATATCATTCGAGGTATCTTTAACTGATACTAACCAATATCATTGGATACCAATTGCATTTTTCTAAAATATTTTGTTCTTATCAATATGGGATGTTAATGTTAAGAAATAGAACACATCATTAATCAGTCACATGTCTCTATTAACAGGGGTTGACAAGCACTCATTAAAATGCCAGACATTTAATTCATTTTCCATATGATCACTCAACCTAAGTGAGATTGAATACAATTGTCCTCGATTATCAATATTGTGTAAATTGGATGGAAACTGACCAAATCTGTTTCCATGGGACGCTTAAGGTTAGTAAACAGAGGAGACTTTACATTCAGATTGTGTCGTTTGGAACCTTGGTCCTGGAGGTAAAAGGAGTATGTCTAATCTTGTCAGCCATCCAGACCCTTTGAGAATTTAGATTTAAACTAGAGGTCAACAATATCATACCTGCACATCGAAACTCTTGTGCGTCCAGCCCTTTCTCCACGGGAACAACAGTTAGACACTGCAACAGATTGATGTGCTCACCCAAGCCAAGCTCCCTAAGTCTTCGCTCATTCTTCTCAATGGTCACATTTGCTGCCAAGGCATCTTCTTCTGCTTCCCAAAAAGATGAAAGAACTGCACGAATTAGTTCCCGCCATGATTTTGCCTCTGCTGCACTTTCCGCTCGAAGCCTCAGAGTGATTTTGGAAGTGATTAATTTAAAGTAAGCCGGGCTACCAAGTGCTGTATCAGGTATAATGTCTTTAAATGTCTCAATTCTATAGCTGTCGCATAGAATTTTCTGCTGGTCCTGGAACTGGAAACATTTTAATGCTTCCAGTGACAAAGAAAAAATATATGGCATCCATGATTTTTCTGTTAACTGATAAAGTACAGATTCTTTAATTGCATCCAATTGAGGCTCTGCCTGAGAACTCCAGTTAAACACTTGCTGGAAGCCATTTTCTTTCTCACAGTTTGGCTGTTCAACAGATTGAGGAGTATATGGTGTAGACATGTTGTGTGATATCTCACTCACTGAATTGTCTGTATACTTTGCTTCTTGTTTTGGAGTTTGATGAGGCCGGCACTTCATTAAAGCTTCCCGAATCCGGTCAATCCAGTCTTCAGCTTCATCTTGGGAGGGTGCGCGCAGACACAATCTTTTGCCAGCAAGAACCAACTCAAACCTCCCATCTGTATGGGCAGGTCCCACTGATTCACATCTTAATAAAGAGCAATTGTCATAGCAATTGCGGTCATCATCATTTTGGTACAGTCGGAACTCAAATGGTGATAACTCACAGTAATACTCCTTCCAAATGCCAACATGGCCTCGCCTCTCTAAGTTACCCAATTTCAGAAGTCCTCGAAATGGGTTTGAAATACCTGTTTAAAGACAATAATTCCAAAAAATGAAGTACAAAATAAAATACTGTCATGTTGCCAAATCTATTAACAAACATCCTGTAGCATTATGGTACTACATTTGGAGCTAGAATAATCAATTCCAACTTCTCCGATGGCCTAGTGGATTAATTAACTACATGTTGTATTACAAGATTTACATTCAATGTTGGCACACAGTTGAGGTGTTACAGGGCGGCTGACACTTAAAGAATCATAATGCAGTATAAATCAGCCCTAGATCTGTGATAGCATTCTTGTCTGAATCAGAAAGCTGTATGTTCCAGTCCCACTCCAGGGTCTCAAATGCATAACTCAGGCTGACGCATCAGCGTAGTTTTTATGGACAGCTGCCCTGTCAAAGTGCCTATCAGATGAGTTGTAAAATCAAGTGCTTATCCATGTAAAAGACTTCACATTACTATTGAAGCAGCAGCAGGCTGACTCTGCCAGATGTCCCATGTTTCAACCAGTGCAGTTTGTTTATAACTTTTCAGATTATGTGCTAGACTCAATTGATTAGACCAATCTTGTACAGAAACTGTCTCCCTACAATCAGGAGTGAATCTTTACAATGAAGAATTTAAGAATTTACCTAGCTAGTGCATAAAACATCAGACCTATCACCAAGCATCATCTCTCACCTTCTAACTGACAAACTGAAACAATTCACAGGTGTAAGCAAACAGTTTACTTTATGTTAAATACAAAGAATAATTTTAACGATATATTAACATTCTATTGCTCACTATTTTATGAAACAAACATGTAAACTCTCATGTTATTATGGGGCCAGATTTCACCGTCAGGGTAGCTGGTACCTCATGTTACAAGCATTTTTTCTTGTTCTGTCTAGCAAACCTCTCCTGATTACTCTTGCACAAGTATGAGTATGTCAACGAACAAGAGTCAACAGGCCTTGCCCTTATGTTTGGGTGCGGGGTATGTGACCTTCTGAACTTCAATCAAAAATTACCATGCGGACTAAAATGCCTCTGCATTGAAAGAGAATTTTCAGTACCCGACTGCCTTGCTAAACATCTAGAGAAACAGTGGAAACCACTAGTGTTTTAGGAAATCTGCTTCATCACAATGGCACTACTTCTAACAACTGCCAGGATCTTGAAACTAGGAGATTTGCAGTAAAATGTTCCACGACTGTTTAATCAGATATTATGGTTATTCAACAGTTCAAATCACCAAGGTCTCCATCCATATTTAATACCTATTGGTTAATGCAAAGAAAAACTAATGTTGTATCTCTTTTGGAGCTCCCTGCTTTAAATCATTTCATAACAAAACCCTCTAAGGTTATTTAGTACAATTCCAAATTGTAGCTGTGTACATAACAATAGGAGTGATTGGATTGGGAAGTGATTATATTAAAAAAAATTTCATATCCTGCAGTATTTAGAGGCAGTACACCCCACCCCCACCCCAAACCAACCTACCTGCCTTTCGGCGATGAGTCACTTTAAAAGATGAATCCCCCTGACTGTGTTTACACTGAGAGAAATTGGACACTGACTGAGCGTGTGTGTTCAGCTGGCCGCTACTTCCATTCACAGGTCTTGAGCTTACTGAACATTCAGACGAACTTTCCCTTATGCTTTTTGAGAGCACTCTTCTCGGAGATGGTTTGCAGATGTCATCGTCTGATATCCAGCTACTTCGTTTCTGAAGCAAGGAGATTCATGTTTACAACGAATCGAGTGACATGTATGTAGCATAAGTCCAGCATTTATTTTAATACAAAACAGACACTGGAAGTGACACCATATCAAAGGGTTCAGAATGCATTAAAACGAAGTACAAAGTTCTAATCACAAACCCATCAATGCAGTTGATTAGAAAAATACATTTAAAAATGTATTCAAACAATGTTAACAAAAACACTGTTGCAAATTTTAAAAATAAAATATTTTCAAAGAAACTAAATAAGTTTCCCTTTTTGTGCAGCTTCATTGAGCTCAAATATGCTCAAATTTGTACACATGCCAAGTACTTGAGCATCTTCAACATTGAATCTTGCCCAAGTATAAGATCCTCCCTCACCACCTTGTACCCAATAGAAGTATTCAATAAGAATTACTTGCAAATTTGTCTGATCTGTAGAAGCCAGGGAAAAATAGAATTGCGAAGGAATACGAACATAAATCATTACTTGCCAGCTCATTCATCATCTCATTCAAGGGCCAAAATATTTAATGCAGGAAGTGCTTATAAATAGTTTGGCTCTTTACATTTATAGTCCCACAGTCTAAAAATCTTACGAAACTCTGATACAGAAAAAAAATCAAAAGAGATTTGTTAAGTTTGGTGAAAATATCAATGACATTGAGGCTTCTCTGGCTACTTATTCAAATGGGGCAACCAAATGACCCAGAAATCATCCAAATGGAGCCCAACCATTTTGATGGAAGAATTAATTTTGAAAAAAAATAACAAAGTGATCTAGACCCATTTCAAGTGCAGCAGAATGCTATCTAAACACTATGTTTTAAGACAGGAATTAGAGAAAGTTACAAACAGCAACTATAAGATGTACTCAGAAATTAACAGCAAAAATCTTTAGTATTTTAGGTATAGAGAAGATTCATTTGATGACAATTTCTCCTTTTCTTTTCTCCATTTCTCCACTCCCATGCACACATTCACTGTCACCAGAAAAATTGATGTATCTCAAGTTGTTGTAGGAGCCTGCTCAATTAATGCCACCTTTAGTGCAGTATAGGCACAGGGAAGAGATGAAATACCCTCTCCTGTTTTTTTTTGTATTGGTGTCATTTCAATCTCTCTACTCCAAATCACAGAGTTACTCACTAAAAATCCCTAATACCCAGTCTCTTTATGTGTGCTTATATTTATCCCTTTTGGGAAATCATTCCATTTAATGCACATAAGTAATGCAGTAACACCCTAGTAGTCCAACTGCATAGCTGGAATACTGCAAAGCAATCAATAAGAGAGGTTCCTGAAGGAGTAAAATTATTTTCGCTCACAGCAGGATATATTTGTTGTGAAATTTGACAAAGGCCAAATTGCAGCATTCAACAAAAAAAAAACTCACATGATTATCTCCTGGTTCAGTCAACTGACTGCCGAGCATGCCCAATTTGTCCACTTCATCTGTGCCACAAGTTATTTCTCCCACAACAGAAACCTGTTCTGCTGCTTCCGTGTAATTTTGGTCATATTTTACTTGCTGGTCTTGACATACTATAGATTGTGAATTTCTTGTAACGTTCGTATGGGACAATTCTTCAGCATGACCAGTGTTTAGCACCTCATCAGCAAGTGCAGGGGTGGTCTTGGTATCACTTTCATCAGCAGATACTGGACACTGCAAAGTTGAAGCACGGATACAGAATGGCGGTGAGGATTCAACTTGTGAATGGCTTTCTGTTGTCCTTGGGTTCGCCTCCCCGTCACATGTATGCAAGTTTGCCACGTGTTCATCTGACTGAGCATTAGTTAAAACAATCTCTTCTGGAGGCTTTGAGGGCAACTCCAACTGGATCACAGAAATGTCAAAGTTGTGCTCTGTGAAAACTAGTGTTTGGTCTCCTCTGCTGAGTTCATCTGGCATCCTTTAAATAAACAGAATAATTATCAGCAAACTACTTAGAGTAAGAGACCAAAGGGATCCATACAAACAGATCGAAGCAAACCTGCAAAATCTCCAGTTATTAACTAAAGACACGAAATGCTGAACACAGATCAGTAATTAACACTCTTAGAAGGTCTCACCTAAATTATTCAGTACAAACCAAAACTAAGGAAAATAAACAAAAGGACAGAACAGAACAAAAGAACTCAAAAGGGCAAGATCTCCTAAAATTATTTCAGATACCATACAAAAACTTGTGTTCTGAAAATCAAAAGAGAAAAGGGTTAACTGGCTTATTGTAGCTCATCCTTCAATATCCTAACTCATGCAGCTTAGTGGGAAACTACATTTTAATACAATCCCAAAACCTGCATTTCAAGACTGCTGCTTATATATTTAATAGATTGCTTGGCTTTGGAATTGCTTTCATGTACTTGAAAGAAACCCATGTAATGCCAGTGTTTAAACAAAAGGCAACAAGGCAGAATTGAAAAGTTATAAGTTCACAAGTTTGATTTCTGTTTTGGACAAATTCTGAAAAGGGTTCAAGGAAAAGATTATGTAATTGCACTTGGATTGCGAAGAGAATAGAGACTTCTAACAAGCGTTCCAGAAAATGTTATACTTCACCAACGTATTGGAACGTTTTTGAGCAAGTTACTGTGTTGTAGGTAGTGTGATGTGGGCAGTTCATTTGCACTGTGTGCCTGGATTATCAAAAAGTTTTAGACAATGGGTCATGCAATAGGTTTCTTAATAAGATAGAGTTTTGGTGGACAGGCAAGCAAAATTTAATAGGAATTTAAAATAGGCAGAACTTTGTTACTAATTTCAGTGGTTCAGTCTGGGTTACTAGCAGAGTGTAAGCAAGAACAGTGTCAGGTAAGGATGTGAATACACTTCTTGAAAGTGTGTGCTTAAATTATACGGATTATATCAGTTGACAGTTTAAACAATAACTGGTGCTCTTACTGAACTAAAACACTGGTAAATTTCTCTCAGCTCTGTAGTTTAAATTCTATTCACCAAAGGTGAGAAAGAACAATGGGTAGGAATATCTCACATAATATCTTCAAATATTACTAACTTATTTCCAAAGGAAACAATTTTTCTGCAGCATTTTTCTGATCTGTTTCAGCATTAATGGCAATATATTAACAACAGACCAACACTTAAAATTAACCATTCAATTGTGTTAGGACAACCCCCAAATCTTTCCCCACACATGTTGCTGGACTTGGGATTTTCTGTTTCTATTTCAGATTTTCACTGTTTGCAGTACTATGATTTTATTACCAGTGTTACAGTTGTTGCTTTTCATAATCTTTTGTCAGTGATTTCAAAGAATGCACTTGAATAACTCCACAAATTTACAGACGAGGGAGATCTGTTGGCATTCGAATCGTACATTAATAAAAGGAATGGATTAAAAACAGATCCACGTGCTGAGGAAATGATTCGTGACGGCCAAATGATACGAACATAATTAAAAACTTAGCATCACACACCAGAATAGAACTATGGCCAACTATGCGCACACCATGTACGATTGTGAATTTAAACTTGTTAAATCAGAAGTATAACTACATGATTCACAATAAAAGAACATAAGGATATAAAATATACAAAATACAAACAGATACAAAACAAAACCTACTGTCCTTATACCGTGGTAGGTCGCGTATGGAATAGTGATGGGCCTCTTATCATGAGAGGTCGTGAATCAAGAAAAGCCTTAAATAGGAGCCACTAGACGGATTTAGTTTAATTTAAAGCACCTTTGTCAACTGGATGGTTTTACTTGTATCTTGCAGACTAGCTTTAAAATACTGAAAATGATTAAAAATAGGTCCATATGGATAGGTTATGAGACTTAAATAAATCAGAAAGGACTAGAAAACCTGTATATCCATTACACAAGCATGAAATTAAAGCAAATGTTAGAACAAGGGCTGGGGAGGGAGTCATTTCAAAGACTCATTCGCCTTTTGAAATAAGCTGCCGGTGACAGAGAGTTCTGTTTTGCTGCATATTTTCATGAGAGCTGGACAGATTCCTAACTGATTCTGACATCACAGTTAAACAGAGATGGAGTACAACATGGTATGTTTCCTGGCAATATCATCACTCAGAACTTAGTCAATCATCTATGGGATTCAAAGAGGACATTCTCAAACATCAATGGTGGTTGTGGTGTTAAGTTGCATCAGGTCAGAGAGGAACAGTTTCAGCTGGTCTTCACCAATCTGTACTTTTGTCATGTACAGCATGCCTCATCAGGCAATAATGTTAGAAGTTTAACTTTTTCCCACAGTTCATCCACCGTCATCATGTTTGATGTTCTTTGCAGTAAATTGATTTTAGTTGTAATAATTTCTAAATTTCAAACAGCTGTCATAAAGAAATAGAAATGTAAATGTAAGACACGGCATTTTGCCTTGTTTACATCAATATTTTTAAACCATTTTTCTCCCCTGAAGGTACTAGCTCTGGTTGGACTCGTTTTCTAGATTTCAACAGCATCGGCTAGTGGCTTGCTTGCAGCCTTTCACCTCTGCATTGAAAAAAGTGATAGGTTTGAGCTCCATATCACACGTCAAGCTCCTAACCTAGGATGAATATCTAGTACAGTATTGACCAATTGAGGCACTGCTGAAGATACCTGTCTTTCGGTTCTCCCTGCTCTTCTTCCTAATGGCAATCCCCAATTCAATACATGCAAAAACAAATTATCTGGTCAGCATCACATTTCTGCTTGTAGGAGTTGGCTATGTGCATACTGGCTACTGTATTTCCTATATTATGGCAGTGACTACACTCCAAAGGTACTTTCTATTGAGTGCAAAGACCTGTGGTAATGAAAGACACAATATATGTAGATGTTACATTTATAAAACATGCACTGTTAATATGTAAAGATACCGCTGTTGAATGTAGGGAGTGGTAATTAAATTAATTTTTTTGCCGATGATCATTGCCTGGCATGTGTTTTTTTTAATTCATCATTCACAGCTTGTGGGTATTACTGGCTGGGCAGGATTTCTTGTCCATCCCTATTTACCCTTGAGAAGGTGTGCTCAACTGCCTTCTTGAAGTCAATGTGGTGGAGGTACACCCCGAGTGTTGTAACTATTTCTATGGCATGAATTTTATTTGCTCTTTATATCAAAGTCTGAAAGTTGTCATGCTATGGATTATCCTTGCACTCCTTTTAAAACAAGTGTATAACATTTACAAGTTTTCAATCCCCAGGGATCATTCCTTTGAGGAAGAAAGATAGATTCTGGACAGGACCCCTTAAGTCTCACTCTTACTTCCCTCAACATTCTTATCTGCATCGGATCTGTCCTAATAACTACTCAAATTTAAGTACAGGTAATTTTTCAACCCATCCAGTTTCTCAACAAGCTCATCTTTCACAAAGACTTTTGTAGCATTTTCTTCTTTAGTAAAGACAGATACAAGGTGCACATTTCGTATGTCAATCACGCCTCTTACCTTGATTCATAAATCCCCCTGTTGGTCTTCAATCTGTTCCACTCTTCTTTTTATTTTTGTTTAACTATTTATATATCTATGGATGACTTTTGGATTCCCCTTTATATTAGCTGCCAGTCTCTTCACATACTCTCTTTGCTGTATATTTCTTTCCTTGCTTGCCATCTATTCTTTTAAAGAAAATCAAGGCATTTGGTTACCTTTTATAGATATTTTTAACCAACCTGTTCAGACATGTTATGACACATCTCTGGAGCAGGTGGGGCAAGACACTGGGTCTTTTGGCCCAGAGGTAGGGACTATAATTCAAATTTCCCAATCTCCTACGTGGTATTCAAACCCATATCCTTGGAACATTAACTGGGGTTCTGGATTACTCATCCAGAGACATCACCATTACACCAATGCCTCTCCTTTAAAAACTTTTTATATCCATTTGATTCTCATTTCTAAGCTTCTCAGAACTTTTCAGTGCAGACTACTTACTGAACATGAATAACAGCACCCCTCAGGTGTGAGAACCTTTCTTTCTAAATGAATATCCACAATGTCTGACTTCTGGATTGTTCTGACTGTGTGTTACTGGACTCCTATCACTAAGCAATGGCAGTTTTATTTTCTCTCACCTACACTTTACTTCTTATGCATAAATCCTAAGTGAACAGTTCAAAGATCTAATTTAAATGCATACAAACAAATCTCCAGACACTGTCACTCCTCACAGAACAAATCTAAACTTAAAGTAAAAGAAAGTCTTCCTCTTCACAAAATGAAACTATAATTTCAAGGATGACGTGTTTATATCTATTCAGAATTTCAGAGATTTCTCAGGGAATTAGCTACTTAATGATATTGTTTATGCCATCCATTATTCTGTGAAGTTAAATAGAAATGTGTTCTTTAAATTTAAAAGGCATAATGCTCAGATTGACAGCATAAAACAGGAAACAGTTATAGAAATAGAGGCAGTCACATCATCTATTTTAAGCACCTTGGCTGCAAATCTGATGTTGTTAACTAATGTTACCACCATCTTATGACATCAAACCCATCTCAGTCATAGTTCTTTAACAGAAACCCATATCGACTTCAGAACATAAAACAGCTCGCTGTATTGTGGGAGAACCTATCAAAGCAAAATGTGACAATTACAGTTCACAGTCAAAACTATTTCTTAGAATGGCAAGGAGTCCTTAAAAGACAAATGTCAATTCTCTTGGCTTCATAAATGAAATAAAATGGCATACATTAAAGCACCGAGAAGAACATGCGAAGTAAAATTAACACTCACTCTTGTAGAGATTTGTTGGAGCTTTCTGCACTTGCAATACCCTTGTCTGTATCACATGACCACAACTCTTCTGTGGTTTGATCAGGGCTCTTCATTCCATTTGACTGAAGCAAACCATCAGAGTTCAGGCTGGATGATAGTTGGGATGATCCAATTGTTTCCAAACTTAGATTAGACGATGTAAGTTTTAGTTTTCCTGAGAGGTGACTGCTGTGTGCAGTTGTGGAACTAGAATGAATTACATCAACAATATCAGATCCAGAGGACTGAGAAACCGAATCCCAGGATCCTCTCCTTCTGCTTTCAGAAAAGTCAGGCAGTGAGGGTTCTGGCAACTCGGATGCTGAACATAAACCTGCCAATGCCAGGGGAGTTGTGGTCCATTCATTCAGTACAGCTGATTTATAAGACAGTGCAAACGAAAGAGATGATAGACCTTGTAGATAGCTCAATAAAACTTCACTATCCTCTGAATCGAGCAGTAAGGCCACAGGGTGGTAGAAGTCACACAGGTTGTCCCGTTCACGGAATAGAGATATTAGGTAACATTCCATCAGGCCATCATTCAGTGCAAGCCTGACCCATGCTCGACATCGTCCAATGTCAGTGTTAATAAAGTTCAAATTTTCCAGCTCAGTCACCACATTTCTGTAAGATTTTTAAATAAATGAAAATCAGCACTCAAGATATTTGTTAGGCAACGCAGTAGAATCAAGCAAATTGAATTGCATGCTAACATTAATAAATGTATACATGGATAATTCACAAATCAATAAAATTATTACTTTTTTACGCCACTGTTCCACTGTATGCTGTAATCTGGTTTCCTCGATAGCAGCATCTCTTTGCATCCCAACCAAGGAGCCACTAATTCCAGTTAGGCACAGATAAGAAGCACCCTGATCCACCATAGGCAATGTCACAGTGAACCCGATACCCACTTCTCTAGTTTCAAACAAATTGAAAACCCTTTTTCCACTTATTTGCAGTACACATGTAGAACATGAATAGCAAAACCAAATGTGTACTTTCTTTGCAAAGCACATGAATGGCAAAACCAAATGTGCACCATCTTGCATTCAATGATAATACTCTCAGAACTCAGGGGCAGCACGGTGGCTCAGTGGTTAGCACTGCTGCCTCACAGCACCAGGGACCCGGATTCGATTCCGGCCTCGGGCAACTGTCTGCGTGGAGTTTGCACATTCTCCCAGTGTCTGCGTGGGTTTCTTCCAGGTGCTCCGGTTCCCTCCCACAGTCCAAAGATGTGCAGGTTAGGTGGATTGGCCATGCTAAATTGCTTGTAGTGTTCAGGGAAGTGTAGATGAGGTGGGTTATAGGGGTATGGGTCTGGGTGGGATACTCTGAGGGTCAGTGTGGACTGTTGAGCCGAAGGGCCTGTTTCCACAGGGATTCTATGATCTACGAACTGAAGCTAACTACAGCATCATGCCACATTAACCTCACAAGCGTTGTTGCCAGATTTCAACATTCAGGCCAGAAGAAAAAGTTTTGTCTCTACAGACAAATGGTGTGTTTTAAGAAGAAAGATTCATTCAGCAGTTTAGGGTTATACTGTCTAGAATTTAGAAGCATGAGGGGAGTTTTAATTGAAGTAGGCAAAATGCTAAAGGAGTTTGACCAAATAGACATCGAGAGGAGGTTTCCTCTTATGGAATAATCTAGAATGAGAGATCATAGTTTTAGGATAAGTGGTATCAGATTTAAAACAGAGATGAGAAGAAGTCACTTCTCTCAAAGGATTGTGAACCTGTGGAATTCACTCCACCAGACTGAATGACAGGACAATGAGTAAATTTAAAGGCAGAGATAGTTAGATTTTTAATTAGTTATGGGTTGAACAGTTATGGAGAGAAGGCAGCAAAGTGCAGTTGAGACTGAGATGAGATCAGTCATGATCGTACTGAACAACAGAGCAGGCTTGAGGGGCTGAATTGCCTAGTTCTCAAGTTCTCCATGTAGGAGAACATAGGACTTCATCGAATATACAGCACAGAAACAGGCCATTCAGCTCAACTTGAGTCTCCTTTCATCTTTCCTCATCAAATCTATCCCTTCTTGCTCAAGTGCCTGCCTTGCTTACTCTTCAATGTATCCATTCGCTTCAATCACTCGTTGTGGTAGTGAGTTCCACATTCCTACCAGTCTGTGGGTGAAGAAATTTCTTTTGTATTCCTTATTGCATAACTTGTTGACTATCTTAAATCTCATGACAAATGCTTGCAGTTCGTAATAATGTACAAAGATTAAGCACAGCAAGTTACTACTTCTTTTGGTATTGAAGTTTGATGCGTTGATATAGTATCCTGAACAGCCTGCTCTGAACTCTAAAGCATGTAAATTAGGTCAAATTATCTAGTGCTCAAATTGAAATGAAAGGGAAAAAAATCAAGCGGACAGCAGAGTAACATACAAACATATGAATAAATATTAGGAGTAGGACATTTGGATCGTCAAGCCAGCTCCAACATCCTTCTAAATCCATTCTCACCACGCCCTTTCATGATTTTGTGTTTCAATCAAATCATCTCTTAATCGCCTAAACTCCAGCAGTTACAAACCTAGCCTGTGCAATGTTTCCTCATAAGATTATCTGCCGCTTTCAGGTATTAGCCTAGTAAATTTTTTCTTATTCATTCACGGGATGAGGGCATCACTGTCTAGGCCAGCATTAATTGCCCATCCCTATTTGTCCAGAGGGCAGTTATGAGTCAACCACATTGCTGTGGGTCTGGAGTCACATGTAGGCCAGACTGGGTAAGGATGGCAGTTTCCTTCCCTAAAAGACATTAGTGAACCAGATGGGTTTTTCTGACAACTGACAATGATTCATGGTCATCATTAGATTCTTAATTCCAGATATTTATTGAAATTAAATTCCACCAGCTGCCGTGTTCGGATTTGAATCCAGGTCCCCAGAAAGTTACCTAGGTCTCTGGAATAACAGTCCAGCAATAATACCACAAGGCCATTGTCTCCCCTCTTTTTAAATCTTCTTTAAACTACTTCTAATGCATTTACATCCTTCGTTAAACAAAACCAATACTGTAAACAATGGTCCAGAGCTCTGTATAACTGAAGCATAACTTACCTATTTTTGTATTGAATTGCCCTCATAATAAACAATAATATTATGTTAGCTTTCCCAATTACCCGCTGAACCTGCATACTAGTTCCTTGTATTTCATGCACTAGGACACCCAAATCACCCTGTATCTCAGAGTTCTTGAATATCTCATCATTTAAGTCACATGTTTTTTTGTTCTTCTTGCCTAAGTAGACAAATTCACATTTTCTTACATTATACTTCATTGGTGATACCTTTGCTCATTCACGTAACCTATCCATATCCCCTTGTAGCTTTTTTTAATATCCCCATTATGACCTACTTTTCTAATACTAAACAAGATATTACAGGAAGCTTTTTGCTGTACTTCAGAATAACATTTCTCACCCTAAACCAGTATTTCACACCGATTCAAAATAGTTTTTGACAAGGTACATCAATCTGGTATATAACTGCATAGAACTCCACAGCCAAGCCTGATCCCCTCCTCACTCCATTCCAAACATGGACAATTGATTAGCAGGAGCCACTGGCTGATAATCTGAAACCTAAACACTTAGTTAAGTCAATCTTTCCTACTAGATCAAGATAACGATTGCATCCCAGCCAAATGAGTTTACTTACCTCAGTACAAACCAGGAAATGACTCTGGGGTATTCTAGTCTATATGATACATTGGCGGTGATGCGTTTTAGGATGGTGAGTCGCAGTTTTATCCACTAAGCTTCAAAGAACTATAAATATTTGTTAGGATTTTGAAGAATTGTGACCAGGACATAGAGGTTTATGGCATAGCTTTCCAACAGCTTTATTTAGCAATAGATCCGCAGGTTTTATGTTACAATATTTGTTATCAGTAAACAAATGGCACAAGTTTATAGCTAGTGTAATATGAATGTAAAAGATGTGAAGAGGAAAAAGAGGTGAAGAAGCATGCAAGTTATGGAAGGATGTTTGTAACAAATCCCAAGTACATCTGACTGCCACATCCATGTCAGAGTGAAGAGTCTATGAAATTCTATTCGAAATCCAGTCATAATAATCTGACTTTCCTGCTATTGAATCTGTCACTACACAAACTACATGAGTGGGCTTAAGCACATATGTTTGTGATGGCAGTAAGTGGGGACAAGATTTGCTAAGTGCAAACAAAAATTTAAAGATAGCTAATGAAGGAATTTTTACACATACATATTTCTTTCAAGGCATGTAGCTGACAGTTTAGCATAACAACAAAAATTATTAGAATGTAGTTTGTTTAGCCTACTGATAGCAATTCACAATGTGAAGGCCCCACAAACTGGCTTCAAATATTTTGAAAAACAATTGGATTTGAAGTTACTAATTGGTAAACAGAAATTTTTCTAACAGTGTAAAAGTCGAATGACCAAGTGTGAGAACAATTTTTAATAGACAAAATGTTAAAGAGTAAACTTTTACTCGGGTAACATTTTTGAGGAGTTTACTTCCAACCTAAACATCCTGGACAGCATATCTAATGTGACTCAAAAGAATCCAAAAACTAATGGGGAGAAGCAAAAGCTACCCCACTCATTATTGCTGATCTCTGTATTTTTATTAAGGAATGTGTCACCTTACTAACACACCAAACAGGAGAAAGGAAGAGACATGCTTTAGAGCATGTCATGCTGACACTCCCCAAATCTTTATTGAAGTCTTGGTGCAGGGAGATGGTACTGAGTCAGCGCTTACTAGGGCTTGTTTGCTAGTGCCTGAACTTCTTCTCACATCCCCAGGAAAGCTAAGGCATGAAGAAGGACGTAAAGATCAGATGTTCATTTACGTCATGTTTGGTCCGGAGTCTGCCCCTGCATCCTGGCTTCAGTAGCACTGCTGATCTCTTTCTTCCTCTAATCTATCAGTTTCTCACCCCTTCTTCCCTCAGCCCCAAAAAATCAAAATTGATCTACATTCTTCCTGTCTTAATTGACAAGGAGGAACTGGAGACAATATAGTAACTGCAATATTTTTGAATCAATAATGAATTTGGGCTGGCTGTTGTGACTGGATAGATTATACTTTCATTCTGAATTGTTTAAATTTTTATCCCCAAAAAGCTAGGGTGAAACTTAATTTTACAGGTTATTAGGTTAAAATTTCACAGACTTGATTTTAATATAATATTGACTTTTCCATGAGTATATCTGGCATTACAAACTATAGAAGTAACGTTACAAAACTTGTTATCAGAGTAATCCTACAGAAGTAACCAGTGTTCTTAGATTGAAAAAAAAATGTACAAATGCAAAAATTCACCACTTGAAATTAACTTTCAAGTTTAGAAAATATGATGATATGGTAGGAAATAAGGAAATAAATCAGTTCTACAAAATTACACAAACTTACCGGTGAGTGACAGTTTTAAGCAGAGTCCAAAAGACAGGCTCTGGGAGAGGTACTCTATTTCGTCCTCGTTTTCCTCCATCTGTTTTGACATACTTTGATTTCAAGCCGTGCACAAACACGGACTCCAAGACAGAGCAGAGAACATTTGCATCACTGTCATCACTGGTAACCACATTGTCCGAGTTTACGTAACGTTTCTGTAAGCACTTCAGGGAACTTGCCAGTTTCTTCTTTATCCGCTGAGAAGAAAGTGGATAACCAAGCATTTACGTTTATACAAAATAAATCCTTACCTCACAAATTCATACACAATCTGAAAAGAGAAAGGGTCTATGAATCCTGAGTTTCGGAACTGACATTATTGATACACACAGCTTATCTGCTGACCTGGTACTAAAAGAAGTGGCCTGAAGTGACATCGTATAAAAATAACTTCCACAAAATCAAACCTGCACCAAAAAAAAAGTCTACATATGAAAGTGGGATTCAGACACAGAAAACCCACATACTCCTGAGAACTTTCTGATCCTTCAGACTCACATTCTCTACAATATTTCACCAGCCATTCAGCTTAATTACCCTCATGTTCACCAGTAATGACCTTGAACCCAGAAAATTGTTTTTTCCCCTCAAATTGCCCCCTGGACCAGCATCACATACTTATCTGGAAATGTTTGCAATCTTGACATCCTGGTTCAACTTGAACTGAGATTTCAATAATTGCATCACACTTCAGCATAATGAACACCTACCTTTACCTCTAACATCATCCACCTCTATCCATCAGCTGCAAATTCCCTGTCAACAACTATACACTTCAATAGCCCAATATTCACCCAGCTGGACTCTCAATTTCCACCTCACCCAAACTTCTGCTTATATTCAATAGCACACCTGGTCACGTGCCTAATACTACTACCTTTGCTAACCTACCCTCGAGGAACTGAGAGATAGATAATCAATTTAAGACTCATTCTTATGTTTAAATCTAATCATGGCATCACCATTCTCTCCAACTCTAATTGCTTCCTGCCTCACAATATATATCAAACTTGGTCCCTTGCACTCTGGCGAGTTATACATTTCCCCCTCCCTTTGCATAACCACTGCTTATCATGCTTTCAGAATTTTAGATGACAAACTTTGCAACTCTCTAAAACTTTCTGTGAATCAACCTTTAAAGCCCTTTTAAAACTTACATATTTAATGACATTTACACCACATACAGCTATGTCTCTTGATAGCTCATTTTTAGGGTCAATAATATTTGTCTGATTAAACCTTCAAAAACCTTAAATAATGCAAGTTGATGTTGTTCAATCCAAAATTAGTGATCCATCTGAGCAGTCCTTAATTCCAACATATGTAAATATAATGACAAAATGTCACTTGATTACATCACTTCCAAATATGCTATATTTCATTTGTGCAAAAATCAGATCTCACTTTTCCCATTCAAGTAAGATTCTACTTCAATAAATATTCTACAAATCACAACTTAGTGATTATTTACTGAATGAGACTTATTTTTAGTTCACAAACCTGAATTTTACCAAAGTCAAGCAAACGCAGAAGCAAAACCTCTATTTTTGAGTTGTCAGTTATATTACTGTTATGCTTCCACTTACCTGTTTAACTTCTCTGTGTGCCGCTAAGTTTTCCAATGTGTGCGTAGAAATCATTGTGCACACTCACATGACACCTTCAGACGGAGGAAAGAAGAAACACTTAGCAAAGGATAAATTCATAATTGAAGTAACAAACAAGCAAACCTTGAGAATCAAGTTTTTTTATTCACTTGTGGGATCTGGACATTGCTAGTAAGTCTAGCATCTATTGTTCATTCCTAATTGCCCTTAAACTGAGCGCATGCTAGGCCATTTCAGCAGGCAGTTAAGAGTCAATCACAGTGTTGTAGGTCTGGATTCACATATTTGCAAGACTATGTAAAGGTCACAGGGCGTTAGTGAAGCTACAATTGACTGGGGTTTCAGAGTCATTGTTGGACTCTTAATCCCAAATTCCAACTTCCAACATCTGCCATAGTTGGACTCAAATCCAGGTTCCCATAACCTTAATAATCTAGCAATAATACCACTAGGGCATTGTCCCTCCTCAACGTTTAGCTCAGATAGTTGGATGGCTGGCAGCAATGAACAGTAATGCCAAAACTGGGGTTCTGAGGGTTACGAGACCTGAAACATTAACTTTGATTTCTCTCCACAGATGCTGTCAGACCTGCTGAGCTTATCCAGCAATTTCTGTTTTTGTTTCTGATTTCCAGCATCTACAGTTCTTTCAGTATTTACATTAGTCTGGGGCTCTGGGTTACTAGTCTGGTGACATGACCATGTTGCTACCACCTCTGTGAAATATAGTATGAATTAGGCTTTCACAGTGAATTTCATCTCAACTCACTATTTCCCCTTGGAGGATGAAATGTTAATCTTAACTCAGCTACCAACAGCATAAAACAAGTGACCCAAGGTAGAAGTAATCAGAGCTTCTCTCTCTAGAGCCCCACTTTAGTACTAGATGGCCAAATCAAAGCTTTACAGGATCAATTCACAACCAAGCTCCACAATTTATGAAGCTTTTCAATTTCAATATTCTCTATTTCAGAAAAAATCATTTTGGGATAGAGCTGGTATGGGATCAAATAAAGCTGCTGCAAGCAACTTAAAACTAAACTGGGACTGATTGCTTGAAAAATACTATTCTCACTGAGCAATTTTGTGCCATCCCAGTACCATCAAAAGAGACAGCTGAAATCTACCAAGCCATCTACCTTGGAAGAGTAACATTGCACTAGCTGGAAGTGAAAAAACAAATACAATAACATGTATGATTATGGAGCTGGGAGAAGGCAATAAAGAAATGAAATAAGTGTTGGTACATATGCGTGGATGCCTCCTGCTCTCTCTGAAAACAATTCAGGACTTCACAAGCTACAATGACACTATTCAAAGATGCAAGAATATTTCCCATTCAAATGCAAGACAGCACAGCAAGATTTCTGCATTATGTATCACAAAGCAGAACTAATGAAAGGTTGTCAGCCTAAAAAGTTAACGGTTTCTCTCTCAATCAACTTCAGTATTTCCAGCACTTTTTGTTTCCATAATGAGTTGGCTTACATTTTCACCTCTGGATCAGTTGGCTTTGGATTTGAAAGGCACACTTATAATCAAGGTTGATTTTTTTTGCAAACAGAGGCAATAATCCATAAATGGAACTTGAACCACCCTTTTAATCAAGTGGTTGTTAAAGATCCCAAGGCAGCAGTCAAAGCAGCAGAGCCTTATCAACATAACTCTCTATCAATTACGACTAAAACAAACTGGCTATATATTACTAAAAGTCATCACTAGTGTAGAATGGCTGTGACATTTGCCTACTAACAGCTTGAATTGCATTACAAGAAGTAATTTCTGAAACACTGAGCTCCTGTTATTTTGTTGGTATTATTGAGCAAACATACTACGTGGTCCGATGAAGGGTCTAGGCCCAAAGCGTCAGCCTTTCTGCTCGGCCTGCTGTGTTCATCCAGCTCTGCACCTTGTTGTCTCGGATTCTCCAGCATCTGCAGTTCCTACTATCTCTGATTCAATACTACGTGGTCTAACTAGTTTGTCTTAATTTATCAAAATATCTGTTAAAAATCTATTTAATTATCTATCTCCATAAAATGTTGTGCTTCTAACCCAGAGAGAAAAACCCCTTGATAATCATAGAATAGGCAGTTGGTCCAATGGCACATACATGCATTTGAACAGAAGCAATTATAGCAACAAGCAATTAAGCTGTAATTCAGGATTTACCCAGTGGGCACATCAACCTAAAGGGAAGAGACGAGACCCAATGGACCAACATGCAACTAGCAAATTACACTGAACTGACTAATGTACATGACACAACCTGGAAATGTAAGTAGTTGGACAGTGTCCTTATTGACAAACATGTCACATCAAGTTAACCCTTTGGCAGATTTAAAGTGTGAATGAAGTGTAGCATGACGTGGAGGTTATCAAGAAATTTTCATTCTCTTATGTTGTAACAAAATCATTTCCACACTATAAAAGAAATCCACACATTTCAACTGCGCTCATCAGCTCCAATACACCTATCAAGTATTTCCCTTTAGCCTTGTAGCTTCCTTGTACAGCCATACCTCCTAACATGGTTTATGCCATAATATCATAGGGCAAAATGAGGAGACAGCCCTTAAGAAATAATCCAGTCCTGAAGGGGATTAGATACAGGCTCCTGGCATTATTCTACACCAGATTTTGGCCAGCTATCCAACTCAGCTAACCGGTCCCCAAATCTTTAACTAAGCAACCAAAATGTGGAAAGGAAAATGATGTGTAAATACTGTTAACTGAAATTCAACTTTACTGCATTGAACAGCTATAATTTAATCATATAGTATGCTCAGAGGCACAGATGTTTGTGGGTACAGTTCACACTCCAGATATTTGAGCACAATATCTTAGACTGATGCTGTAGTCCAGTCTGAGGAGTGTTGAAGGGTGGTGTAATTTTTCAAACAAAACACTACTTGCCTTCTCATGCGGACTATATCACTATCCCATGTCACTATATCAAAGAACAGGGTACTTTAGTACTTTACCAAATAACCACCCCCTACCCAATTAACATTACACAGTTAATCTGGGCATAATCACATTGTGGGATCATGTTGTGTACAAATTGACCGAGATACTTTCTACATTAGAACAGGGACTACCCTTCAAAATTAAAAACAATTGGCTGTGGGGCATTTTGGATTGGCCTGACAGCTTGTAAGGTGCTATATAAATGAAAGTACTTTTTAAAAAATGTTGTTCAGACTTATGACGACAGCTATGCTTTGTATAGCAAACACAAACTCCTACGGGAAGAACATCTGAAGAACATAATGATACAAAGCACATTCAGTGTGGCACCGACACAAACAACTGACTTATCAGAATGTTTTTCAACACTGTGTTACGAAGTGAACAACTTAGATTGCAGCACCGACCACAGCAGCAAGGAAGCGGTCACTGCAACAGAAACCTCAGCAGGAACAAGTCAACAACTGAAGCAGATACCTACACTGTCTGTGGAGAGTGCTCTATAAACTGGATAACCAAACCGTAAGCAAATTCATAGCATTAACCGTGGCTGTGACTAGAGGAATGGCAAGCAAGCCAACAAGACAGATTTCACTGTTGCAAGGCACCTATCATTATTTAAATTTGTCCCTGCATTCTGATCAGCTCAAAATAAAAATTGTCCAAGAAATTACAGTAAGCACGAGGTGATGATGACAGAGCAAGGAAAACACTGCTTCATTGTACAGAACAACCAATCAGATTTTAAAGATAGGGAAGCGAACACTGGAAGGTTCGAGAAGGTGAAGGAATTCATTGTCAAATCAAAAACAAAGTGAAACAGTGCACAGAATGTAAAACGACAAGAAAAATATTTGATTTAAAAGTCATGTTTTAAAAATCTTCTGCAACAATTTAAAACCTGAATCAATGAAACTCCAAACTGATACCAAAAACCAAAAGAACTGCAGATGATGGAAATCAGGAACAAAAACAGAAATTGCTGGAAAAGCTCAGCATATCTGGTAGCATAGGTGGAGAGAAATCAGAGTTAACGTTTCTGATCCAGTGACCCTTCTTCAGACCCAAATCGTTAACTCTGATTTCTCTCCACAGATACTGCCAGACCTGCTGAGCTTTTCCAGCAATTTTTGTTTTTGTTTGCAAATTGTAATAGTTAGCTTTCGACCCTAGAAGGGCCGACTGGAAGTAACCAATAATTCAAAGAGTGAAATGCTATTTCTGCTATGAACTGCCCTATAAAAAGCAGAACCGAAAGAACTGAGGATGCTGTAAATCAGGAACAAAATCCATTCTGAGGAAGGGTCACTGGACCCAAAACGTTAACTCTGTTTTTTCCTTCACAGATGCTGCCAGACCTGCTGAGCTTTTCCAGCAAGTTTGTTTTTGTTCCTATAAAGCAGGCTTAATTTGTATCAATTTGTATCTACTTCATGCTATTCAATGCACATCACTGGTGAGCCAAACAGTAAATTACCATTTTGTGGAATTATGTAGCCCAGAGAACAAAGCTTGGATATGCACACTTAACACCTTCCCCCTCACCTGCAGCCAGTTTACCCTTTACACTGTAATTAATGCAAGTGCCATTGTTTTGGCAGCAAATTCTAACAATAAAATTTCAACAAGTTATACACGAACAGTACTGAAAAGAACTATAAATGAGAGTACTTGGGATCACGGTTCTTGGAAAAAACGCTTTCTCTAGTCACCCTCTCAGTTTCTATCAACCAGAAAAGAGTATGAACAATTGAAAAAGCAAGCAAATAAAAAGAAAGGCCCTAACCAGCAGAAATTCACAAACCAAAAATTAAGGTCAAGTTGTTCTTCCAAATTATCCCTGAAATTGAAGACACTCCTTTACCACATTGCTGCCCCTCTGACTTAGAAATCAAGCACTATCAATCAGGACAACAGACACATAAAACAAGATGTTTAGTACGGCAAAGTTAGGGCAATAAGTGGGTTAGCTTTAATAACCTTTTGCCATCTTTTCACCTTAAAGACTTATGTCCACTTTTATTCTTGCAACTATTAGTGATATATATTTTTCACAAATCCTAACTGGTCATAGCAAGAGAAA